GCATGAGGGAGACACAGTGCAGTGATGGTACGGTTGCCCAGGATTCTCGATGAGCAAACCCTAGCATCATCTGTCGTCACCTCTTTGGTGCTTATTGTCAAACCTCTATCTTCACAGACATTTAAGCACCTTAACATAAATTATGTTCTCACAGTCATTTTATGTTAATAACAACATGTCACAAAACAACCAATTATTATAAGAAAGCTTTTTCTGGGGTGCCTGGGTGGCTCAGTCAGTTAAGCGTCCGACTTCAGCTCAGATCATGGTCTCATGGTTCATGGGTTTGAGCCCCGTGTCGGGCTCTGTGCTGACTGCCAGCTCAGAGCCTGGAGCCTATTTCGGAGTCTGTGTCTCCCTCTCTCTCTGACTCTCCCCTGCTCACACACTCTCTCTCTCTCTCTCTCTCTCTCTCTCCTAGAAATAAATTTTAAAAATATTTAAAAAAATATTTATTTATTTTTGAAAGAGAGAAAACACAGAGCATGAGTGAGGGAGGGACAGAGAGAGAGGGAGACACAGAATCTGAAGCAGGCTCCAGGCTCTGAGCTGTCAGGGCAGAGCCCGATGCAAGACTCGAACCCATGAACTGTGAGATCATGACCTGAGCCCAAGTCATACACTTAACAAACTGAGCCACTCAGGTGCCCCGGTATTGTCAGTCTTTTAAGTTTTAATCATTCTAGGGGCACCTGGGTGGCTCAGCCGGTTAAGCATCTGACTTTGGCTCAGGTCATGATCTCATGGTTCCCGAATTCAAGCCCCACATCTGGCTCTGTGCTGACAGCTTAGGGCCTGGAGCCTGCTTTGGATTCTGTGTCTTCCTCTCTCTCTGCCCCTTCTCCACTTGCACTCTTTTTCTCTTCTCCTTCAAAAATAAATAAATATCAGAATTTTGTTTTAATTTTAGCCATTCAAGAGGATGTATAGTGGTATCACATTTTGTTTTGTTGTTGTTTTGGATTATATTTTGAAGTAGTTAGTTTCTCAATTGTTTTTCTTTCTTTTTTGGTGTTTGCTTTCTGTGTCCTAACACATCTAACCCAAGATCCCAAAGAAAGATTGCTACCTCTATTTACCCTTAAAATAAATTGTTTCTTACTTAATCTTCATGCACTCAGATTACTCTCCTCTGCCTTTATTCATGTAGTGAATACAAAGACTTCACCCGTTATAGTAAGTCTGATGGAAATGAGTATTAAATTTTTAAATTAGTGCTTGGCGGGTCCCTCCTTCAGTATCCTGTGTCTGTATTACCTCCTATGTGTTTGTGCACAGCCAGGCAGACACATCCACAGAATCTTCTGGGATCCAAGGTCTCTCCTCTATAGCTGTCCTCTCATGCTCCAGTAGAGGGCGCTAGTTTGCATCGCGACAGTCCAGCAGCTCGTAGGACATCTCGTGTGACTTTCACAGAGGACAATGACATTTGCTAAGCTCTCATTCCAAACTCTTTACATATTTTAACTTAAGCCTCAAATCCCTGAGGAAGAAAGCGAAGGCTCAGAGACGTTAGGCTCCATTTGGAAGTCGGTTGGTCAGATGCTGGGCAGCTTAATTCCAAGCGTTTTGCTCTTCCCACGGTAATAAATCACCACAGGCTGTGGCTGGAGGTTTATGTGACTGAGCACATCTTGGGAAACAATATCTCCCTGATGGTTGTCTTTCGTGAATCAGATGTTTTTCCAGGCTCAGTTCAGACCCTTGCAGTGGGGCATTTGGACAGAGTTTCCCAAAGAGAAACTTAGCCCCTTAGCCAGGTGGAGACCCACCTTGTCCACGTGTGTCATGTGTCAACAGGGCCACAGAGGAGGGTGTAGTTGGTGCACTGCACAAAAGTACACGACTAAGGGGGCAAGTAGGGGCTGAATTCCAGCCTGCTTTTGTCCTGTGGGTCCACGGGGCTGTGTCTTCCCTGAGGATCCTTTCTTAGGTGCCACAACGACACTGTGTCTGCTGGTGGTGGCCCTGTCCTTCAGGATAAGCTTGGCTAAGCCCAAGTGCTATCACTTGGCTGAGTGAATCACCACGTCCCACCCTCCTGGCCGTAGTGATTAGTTGAGGACTGAGCATGTAACCGATGTCAGGAGATTTTTGGCCAACGAGGCTTAGGTTAGAGGCTTCTGTTTGAGGGCCAGGGGTCTCTTCTTTCATAAGGTGAGGATGAGAGCTGCTACAGCCATGCTCACAGTTAAATGGGGCTTGATAATGGGGTTAATTCTCAGCAAGAAGGTCAAAACTAATGCAGAGAGAAAACCCTATGCTGGTGACTTTGATGAGCCCTTGATCAAGCTATGCCCGAAGCCCAAATCTACTCATGGACCATGGAGTCGCATATGCTGATAAATTCTGTCTTGCTTAGACAGTCTGGCTGTCAGTTGTGACCAAAAACACACTAATTATTCCATACACAGTCCACAGGCCCGCTCCCCAGCCCCCCTTCCTGGCTTTGGACTCCCATCATAGCGCTGCCACCTTCTCATATGACATTATTTACTTACTTAGTTAATTGTGTTTCTACCTCCACTCCTCACCCCTGCCGAGGTGTATGCTCTCTAACGGCAAGGAATTTATATGGTTTGTTGATTGATGGATTTGCAGTCCCTGAAATGAGTTCTTACCACAGAGAATGCGTTCGATAAAATTTTGTTGAATGATACAGTTACTCAACGAATAATTAAAGATTACTAAAATGCCACATGCACAAATGAAAATCAGCACACACGTATTGTCCAAAGTTAATCAAGGACTGGTCTTCTAATAAGACAAGTGGCAGCCTGTCCTTTTTTGCAAAAGTAGGGAAGCCCACGCTGTGCACAGGTACACACAGCTTGCTGGCATTTCAGCAATTTCAGAGAGGGTGCTTCGTTATCACTACATCACCAAGAGTGTTTCAGGTGGGGGGCGCCTGGGTGGCTCAGTTGGTTGAGCATCTGACTTCAGCTCAGGTCATGATCTCATGGTTCGTGGGTTTGAGCCCCGTGTCGGACTCGGTGCTGACAGCTCAGGGCCTGGAACCTGCTTCAGATTCTGTATCTCCCTCTCTCTCTTCCACTACCCTGCTTGCACTCTATCTCTGTCTTTCTCTCAAAAATAGACATTAAAAGAAATTTTTTTAAAAGAGTGTTTCAGGTTGGTGATGCTATTCAGCTGGAACTGATACATATTTTTACTGTATTTACAGAATAACTATTAGATTTTATTTTGTTTTGTGTTGGTGCATCTGTTATTTATCCCATCTTGGATTTGTATTTTTTTCTCTGCCATCGTGCGCTCCTTTTTCTCCAGAGAGTATGAATGAATTAGAAGTAGGTGGGCCTACCTCACAAGTGTGCCATGGTCGGAAGACACTGGGAACCTCTACCTTTTGGGGATATTGTGATCCACGTTTCCTTTACATTCTGTTAGTTCTTACAGGAAATACCATGGAATCTGGCATTTACCTCAAAGAGGTTCTTACATGGCCCCTGGCAGTCCAGCATTCCTGATTTATCTTACCATCTCTGCCAGAGAATTTGAACCTTTGCTTGTTTCTCCAACGGTGACTTGCCCAGAACCCTGGAAGGCATTGGTGTTTGCTTTTTGCTGAAGCTAACTATCAGCTTCGAAACAGTGACCCTTCACCACCTGTCTGTCATCTTGTCTGAGCTTCCACCTTTAAGACATTCATCCTTCGGGTTAACAAGCGTTTTGGTGCTTAGAGGAAGCAATACGTTATCTCTGATGTCTTCCTCTTTGGCTTCCAAAAAAGTGAAAGGGGTGTGAGGGGAGGAAGGGAGAAGCGGGGGAGGGAGCAGGAGGTCCAGGGTGCTGTCTGTTCACTTCCTCTCTCTTCACTGCACCCTTCCGTGAGTCAGCGTCTGAGCCTGGTCTTGGCCTGCTAAGGTCACAGGGGTGCACGAGGGTGTCCTCAGGTTCGGGTATAAGACTCTGTGTTGACTGGTTGGCAGAGCAGCGTGGGGGAAGCCCACGGCCATCCACACATCCTGAACCACACGGTCCAGTCACACGTCCTCTCCTCTCTGGTGGTGCTTCTAAGGAATGCAAACATGGTCACACCGAAGCCACATTTCCCGTCCTTGTCAGGTCCATATTATTCCATCTTATGTGCCTGAGTAGATTCCTGATCTAAGATGTCACAAATCCATAAGGGGGGAAAATGATCCTCATAAGGGGTCTCAGACTTCACCAGACAGAGACTGGAGCAAGGCAACAGCGTTAGCGGCGGGGGAGAGAGGAGCGTCCAGGCCCCAGGCAGTTCCAGGGTGCCCGCAGTGGCTATGGTCTGCCCTCTGAGCTGCTGGACTCACGCTAAAACAACCCGCAGTCCCTCACCCCTACACAGAGGTTGCCCAGGCCCGTTGCCTCCCCTCTCATGTAGTCAAACCGGGGCCGCAGCTTTTCTGAGGAAAGGCAGTGATGAGGAGGAAGGAGATGAAGAGACACGTGGTTATGTTTCTGAGTCTTATTTCACTTTTGCATTCCCGTCACCACTGCGCTGGAACAGAATGCTCTTCCATGCACACAGCTGTTTATTAAAAGATGCCCCTGGTCCACGTCAGCCTAATAGGGACCTGCTGGTAAACCTTCCTCATGGCAAAAGGAAAACTAAGTAGGTGTCAGAACGGGAGAGTGTGGGCAATAGAGAAAGGGTGGAGGGGTGCCGAGGCTGAAAGAGCTGGGGACTCGGTCCCGAGTCTCCTCCTGTCTCCAGACCTTTACGCCTGATGGCCCAAGACCTGGCCATTTCACCAATCTCCTCGAGGCAGCTGGAGGTGGGAAGGAAAAAAGAAGAGTGCCATGGAAACGGATCCCAGGCTAGAAGCCACTGTCACCCCAGTGCTGAGGCCGTTGAGGCTAATAAGCCTAAAAGAGTGAGTGCGATAGGGCCTGACCAGCCTCTGGTGCTCTGTTCGCTTTGAGGGAATCGGATACAGTCAGCATGTGCAGAGGAAGGAGGGCCGGGGCACGTGTGGGGCGGACATGACCTTGATCCGGGTCTACACTTGGTATTTGCACAGGAAGTGCTGGCAGGTGCCGCGTGTGTTGATCCTCCAAGTTACGAAGTCTGCAAGAAAATAAGCAGGCTTTCTGATCCATCTGGGTCTGGGTTGCACATGCCAGCACCCCCTGGGGGTTTTGCTTGGAGCCCCGGAAGGACCCTGACAGGCTTCATTTTATCCGTCGACTGGGCTGAGATGGGTGCCCACATGTTGGGTCAAACACCCGTCTATGTATTGCTGCGGAGGTGATTTGTTTTGGATGTGATTAGTTTTTAAATTAGTAATGAGTAAATTACTGGAGTAAAGCAGACCTCCCTCCATAATGTGGGTACTCATGCAATCAATGAAAAGACCAAGAGAGAAAGAGAGAGAGAAAGTGGGTGCAAGTGAGTTAGGGGCAGAGAGAGAGGGAGAGGGAGAGAAGTAGGGCTCACTTGAAGCGGGACTCGAGCTCACCGGATATGGAACTGGAACGCACCAACCTGAGATCATGACCTGAGCCAGTCAGGTGCTCAACCGACAGAGCCACCCAGGCTCCCGTGAGCCAGTTCTTTAAAAGAAATCAATCTCTCTCTCTATACACCCTATTACTTCTATTTCTCTGAAGAACCAGACACTAATACCAGCACTAACTTTGTTCATGGAAAGGAAAATAATTTAAATGCCACACACACACAATTGCAGAAGCCCCACACCAGCGAAACTTCTGAGGGGAAAACAGAGCTGGACATAAATCAACAGAAAGTGGGGGTCTTTTGTGTCTGAGACAGGATGCTACGGATGTGGAGGTGGTTTTTCCAAAGTCTGCAGCTGAGGCTCTGAGATGTTCAAAGAGTTGGAAGCCACTGAGCCAGTCACGTCCCCTGGGCCATCCCTTCATAAAGAAAGACTGACAGCAGGGAGCAGGTGGTCTTGAAAACGGAAGTGTTTTTGTGGAGAGGTCCCACCATGGCCGTCCACAGATTCGCTTATCACCCTGTGGTGTGGGCAGCAGAGTATCCAGTGGTTAGACATCTGTCTGTCTGGCTCTGACCTGCAGGTCCTGCCCTGGGGCCAGTGTGTGCTGGTGGGTCGGATGAGAGCCCTGGGGACAGAGGGCACTGCCAGGCAAAGTGGGAAAAGGTGTGCAGCCTCCCCTTCCGAGGGAGAGGATGGGTCCTGTGCATGCCCACATCCATGGCCACCAGAGCCGGGCCATGGAAAGTAACTGATATGGAGACAGAGGCCATTCCCCTCCCCTCCAGGTCAGAGAACCATGAGTCTTCCCTGACTGGGATAGGCACTTCACTTATCTGTCTTCAAGTGATCAAGACTCTCGGTTTTCCTTTTGTGTGGAGAGGCAACTGAAGCACAGAGAAGTGGGAAATCTGCTCAAGGTCACACAGCTAACTGGAGGAACTAGAATCCCATCCTAGGCATTCCAAATGCAGCCCCCATGGTCTTGACTACAATTCCACTGAACATGAAATTTCTGTTTGTTTATTTTTGAGAGAAAAGGCGGGGAGAGAGAGCATATGCACAGGGGAGGAGCAGAGAGAGAGGGAGAGAGAATCTTAAGCAGGCTCCATGCCCAGTGTGGAGCCCACCTCAGGGCTCAGTCTCATGATGGTGAGATCATGACCTGAGCCAAAATCAAGAGTCAGATGGTTAACCAACTGAATCCTCCAAGAGCCCCTGAAATTCCTGTTAAAGTTGTAGCACCACATTTTTAAATGTGTCAGAGTGAACGGGGAGAGACGTCAGAAAGCACTGTTAGTGCCATTTGACAGAGCGTCACAAGCAAGTTCCACTGTGGTGCAGAAAAGGAGTCAGAGGGGGTAAAAGAACCAACCAGACAAAATGACCTTTGGGGGTCTTCCGAAATAGACATAAAAAAGGAGTAAGTCTAGTCACACACAGAATGTGTGTGTGCTGGTGTTTGGGGACATTAAAACCATACCTTTTGGGTCTTAAGGAAATGACTCAGCTACTGAGTTGGGGGGCTAAATCTGTTACATAAATATAAAATGACACTGACGGGGCCAGGGGAAGGCTCTCTAACATTCTACCTTCCACCAGCTTCTTGCTAATCCTTGTTCCACTCCTTGTGCTTTTCTGGCTTGAGCGCCTGGACTCTGGTAGCTAAGGGCTGGGCTGAGTGAACCCAGGAAAGGAGGAGAGTCTGAAAGGTCTAGAGTCCTCAGGAGGACATCGGGCTCCTGGTTGCCACCCAAGTGGCTTCGTTCTTGGAACTTTGCCCATGTGAACATGGACTGATGGGAAAGACTTGTGTTTGAGAACTTAGTCCAATTGAAATCTCAAAATCATAGGAAGGGCTCTGCAAGGCATCTAGTCCGTTGCTTCCCCCAAAGCTGGTCTGGTCTCCAGCCCTAGAGATTCTGATGTTGTAGGTCCAAAGTGATTCCCAGAATTTATATTTTAAAAGTGACCCTCAATGTATTCTCCATGTGCCGTAGTGCTCCCCTTCTAACACTTTTGATGCTGTAACTACAATTGCAACTACAATGTCCACTTTTGCTTGGTTACCTCCAGTGACGGGGTTCTCACTGGTTCCTGCCCATTCTATTTTTGGACAGTCCCACCCTGCCTCAAGTTCCTGCGTCCTCAGTCCAGGCCTTTCCCAGACCCACTTCCTGCCTGGGAGGGGTTCCCTGGTGACACCATGATGGCCTTTTAAACCCACTAGGATGTTGTCTTCAGCACCAAATAGCTTCTTTATCTTTGCTATTCTGTTTTCTTGTTTTACAGTGGATGTCTTCCATATCACTTAATCTCTGTGGTTCTCAAATGCCAGCAATTCTGCCCCCAGGGGGCATTTAGCCACAATCGGGGCGGGGAAGAGTGGTTCTACTGACATCTAACGAAGATTTGAGACCAGGATATCCTAAATCTACAGTGAACAGGATGGCTCCCACAACGAACAGTTATCCAGCCCCACGTGTCAAAGGTCGAAAACTGTAACTTATGAGCATAAAAAGCAAAGAATGAAAGACAAGATAAGCAAGGAGACTCAAGTGATTGTATGCAGCCTAGAGCTGAGGTTCTGGGGCCTGAAGTTTGGGGACAAAACTCAGGGAAACAAACAAGAGGGCAGCAGGCAGGCAAAGATGGATCCTAGGTTCCTAGGATGTATGGGGAACCCGAACTAGAAGGAATCCGGAAAGAAGTCATACATATTTGTTTCCTGTAGCCTGGGTCTCCCAAAATGTGACATCTTTCACCTTCATATATATACAATAGGATTTAAAAATAAGTGTATTTGGGGCTGCTGGGTGGCTCAGTTGGTTAAGCCTGACTCTTGGTTTCGGCTCTGGTCATGATCTCACAGTTCATGGGCTTGAGCCCTGCATCAAGCTGCATGCTGACAGTGCAGAGCTTGCTTGAGCTTCTCTCTCTCCCCTTCTCTCTGCCCCTCCCCTGCTCACTCTCTCTCAAAATAAATAAAACTTAAGTAAATATAAAGATAAGTGTATTTAAGGAAAAAAGTGAGTGGATTTAAAGAAAATATTAAGTAAATAACCGAACAGCTGGTCTACGGATACAGCAAAGATTGTAAGACGGTCACAAATGACGGCAGGTTGGTAAATAATGTATGTGGCAAGGCCACCGTCTTGTGGCAAACAGAGTTGCTGGTGTGAAATGGGGTTGGAGGGGGGGAGCGGATGTCCCTTTCTGCTCCTACAGGTAAAGGGGAGGAGCTGTGAACTGGGCGGGGCGTCAGAATTTATCCTTACTGGAGCTCATCTCTGCACAGTACTTATTCCTGCCTGCAAACTTCTGTATAAATAGAATTCCTGCCTCAGACCAGTTACTGTATAAATAGAAGGCCCCATCGATCCACTGCCACTCTGTCTCTACAGGTGACCACAGATGGAAGACAGAAATTCAGCCTTCCTGACTCACAGTCAGGTGGTCCTCTCAAGTCCCTAGACAGCCCGTAAAAATCTTTCATCGCAAGAAGCACAGAAACGTGCACAGAATGAAAGAGAAAGCTCACCCCATTTAAAGAGGAAAACATTACTATTGATTTTAGCATATTTACTTCTGGTGTGAACATTTTTATGAACTAAAATAGGTGACGGTCTTTAAAATACATACTCAACGTGTATTTTGCCTTTGAAACATTTTTAAATGGTGTACTATAACTTACTTTAATTCTATTGATGTTTACAAACATTATAATTATTATAATCATTATATTATATATATATTTATGTATAATAATTAGTAAAAAGAATATAAACTACTTTGTTCCTGACGCTGTTTCTGTACTGACACTTATTTTCTTTTTTTTTTTATATATTTTTATTTATTTCTAGGAGAGAGAGAGACAGCATGAGCAGGGGAGGGTCAGAGAGAGAGGGAGACACAGATTCTGAAATAGGCTCCAGGCTCTGAGCTGGCACTGCTATGCATTGCCAAACTGCTTTCCATCTATGGGAAAATTTATTTATATCCTTAAAAATTTTACTCAGTAAGACAAAGCAAAAGTTTGATAATCTGGTAAGTCAAATTATATTTCTATTTGAATTTGCATTTCTTTGATAATTAGAGCCATGACACATTTTTAAGGGCTTTTATTAGCTACTTACTTTCTTTGATTATGAATGTAGACAATTAAATTACCCAAAAATTGTATAAATAGATGTAAATATTTGTCCTAACTCTGAAGAAGAGACTTGGTTGATAGCAATGTAAGTACATAAACATGTGTAATTAATTGTATTAATTATTTGCAACATCTATGGCAAACTTTTACCAAGAAAGGGAAAGTCTGGGGGTTCTCTTCTTGTGTTCTTCATGTTTGCTTGGGTTAACTATAGAAGATTCCCACAAAGAATCTGTAAACTGCAGATCCCACATAGAGGCCTTGGGGTACCAGACCTCACATGCCATTCTTTATGATGAGGTATTGATGGAGAGGAAGATGAAGGTCTAGTGAAAAAAAGTTATGGAGAACATAAAAAAACATGATAGCACCTAGGACAAAGCTTGGCTGAAAGTTCTCAACTCTAACTCAAGATCTGATGGGAATTTAATTAAGCTAGGTCCCATAACAGATGTGTGTGCATGTATGTACGTGTATGTGTATGTTTTCATATATATATATGCTCACACAACTTTTAAAAAATTGTTTACTTATTTATTCTGAAAGAGAGAGAGAACAGGTGCAGGGGAAGGGCAGGTGGGGGGTGGGGAAGAGAATCCCAAGCAGGCTCCATGCTCTCAGTGCAGAGCCTGATATGGGGGTCCATCTCTGGAACCATGAGATCGTCACCTGAGCTGAAGTCAAGAGTCGGATGCTCAACTGACTGAGCCACTCAGGAGCTCCATAACTTATTTTTAGGCTCTGGAAAGCTGGCCATTTTGTGTTCTAAGATTTGGGAGGACTTTAATTAGATAGAGTTCTACTAAGTGATGCCACTGAAATAATTGCCTCCCTTGAGGGCCAGAACTGAGACCCAGACCTTGAGGCTTAGGCTTCTGTCAGTTGGAGGCAGTAACTGAAGAAGTCTACTCCCTGTGCCTCCATCAGTAGACCTGGAAGCCATTTCCCACACAGGGACCATCTATCTAGCTTTACCAAGGGGACATCTCTGGCCCAAGTCTGAGGTTACCTTTTGTGGGTCATGCAGGTCAATCCATACAGGCTTGTTTCCTCGGTAACCACTTAGGTACTTTGCGATGATGTTGGCTTCCTTTGCACTCTGGAGAGATGCCAGGTGGGCTCCGTTTCCATATGACTGACACTCATACTGTGGGCAAGAAGTTGTGCTAATTAATCATCCCTTGAGGTTTAAAAGCATCGTCCTCACCTCACAATCCTAGTAGGCACATAACTATCTTCTCTGCGGCTACTTTGAAAACTCTCAGCACCAAACACAAACTTGTTTTACTCCTGTATGTCTTTCTTTTTAATGTTTGTTGTTTGTTTGTTTAGAGCAGGGAGGGGGCAGAAAGAGACAGGAGAGAGAATCCCAAGCAGGCTCCACACTCTCAGCACAGAGCCAGATGCAGTGTTCGATCCCACAAACTGTGACGTCATGACTTGAGCTGAAATTCAGAGTCAGACGCTTAACTGACTGAGTCACCTAGGTGACCCTATATATGTCTTTTCTTGATCCCAAATTCTTGCTCTTCAAGCTTACGAACTTCATGCCTAGTCAAGAGAAGGCGATCTGGATTCTTCTTCTCGATTCCTGAATAATAATCACCTTTTGTTTTAGGGACTGGATGGAACTTGTGGCCTAACCATTCTCTAACTGGAAACGTACTGTCCCATTAAACAAGGCAAACATTTTATATATCTATATCTTCTAGAGATGTATGCTTATTTTACACTCTTTTGTGTTGTGTTACAGGATCTGCCTCCAAGGTACAACTTAAACTAATATAATGAAAACATGGTTTTGGCTACAGTTGCTATTCCAATGCCTCCTTTTGGTATCTTGCTCATGATTAGACAGGGCTGGTGTTGAATGTTGATGCATTCCTCACCCCTGCTGACCACTTTCCAACACCAGCATGTTTTCATACCCAGAACTTCATTTGCATGTCAAATTTGTGAGGCTGGGAAGCCAGATTACCAATCAACGTTTAGTGAGAGGACCCATCACAAAGGTTCCTGGGACAGAAGAGGAAAGAGTCTCTGTGGTTAGGTAGGATTTTTCCTCCAAGTTCACACTCCTGGTAATGCACAACAGGACCTGGAACCCAGATTTCTGTCTCCTGTGTCCAAGATCAGATCTACCTGTCATGCTCATTGTCCCCTCCACACCATGAGTCTCAAGAACTAGATTGACCCTCAATATTGGCAACTAGTCAAGAAGCAGCAGTGCCCAAGGTATTCATTTGTTTGGTCCTTTTCCAGCACCTTCTCTGCACTATGTCCAGGAGTGACTAACTCTGCTAAGGTTTTGTATCAATCCTGGACAGTTTTTGCCTTGAGAACCTCAAATGAACACCCAGCATGTGTAATAAGCTCTTTGCAAGTTAAAAAAAATTTTTTTTCAATTGTATCTGTTTCCCTGCACTTACATCTTTATTGCTTTGATTTCCTGGTTGACCCTGCCATTGTTTAATAGCATGGTGTTTAACCTCCATGTATTTGTGGTGTTTTCGAATACTTTTGTTGTTGGCTTCAACTTTGTTTAAAGTTTTAACTAGCTGTGCTCTTGTCTTCTTGTTTAATGAGACCTAATGCTACTTCCACCAAAGCTGCAGAATATCTGCTGGAAAGTCTGCCAAATAAGTCAGACAGAGAAGGATAGATACCATATGTTTGCATGTACAGGAGTATTAGGAGGAACTTAACAGAGAACCATGGGGGAGAAGGAGAAAAATAGTGGGGGAGAGGGAGGGAGGCAAACCACAAAAGACTTTTGAATGCTGAGAACAAATTGAGGGCTGATGGGGGTGAGGATGAGGGGAAGAGGGATGATGGGCATGGAGGAGGGCACTTGTGGGATGAGCACTGGGTGTTAAATGGAAACCAACTTGACAATAAACTATTTAACAAAATTAAAAGGCGAGAAGAAGCACATTGAAGAAGGTAGGAAGTGCAGAGACATGGTTTAGAGGATAAGCTGAGAAAGTCACAGAGAAAGACAAGAGAGAGTAGAGAACAAAGAGGAATGCACAAGGAGAACAGTTCCGCAAAGCCACTGGGAAAGTTAGAGGGGATGATTTTCCTGAGTTCTTTCCATCAGCAGGATTTAAAAATATTTTTTAACATTTATTCATTTTTGAGAGACAGAGTCTCAGCAGGGGAGGGGCAGAGAGAGAAGGAGACACAGAACCCGAAGTAGCTCCATGCTCTGAGGTGTCAGCACAGAGCCCAACGTGGGGCTTGAACTCATGAGCTGTGAGATCATGACCTGAGCCGAAGTCAGACGCTCAACCGACTGAGCCACCTAGGCGCCCTATCTTTGTAAGTTGTTTTAATGAATTCTTCTGACAAGCCCATGGTGTAAAAGTCTCATCCCCATTTTAAAGCAAGAAAACTGGTAAAGTGAGGTACAACTATAACCAGTGAATGGCAGAGTCATGACTTAAATTCAGGTCTGTTGCTGGGTCATAGGATAATTCCATTTTTTATTTTTTGTGTGGTTTATATATACAAAAGAATACTACTTGGCAATGAGAAAGAATGAAATCTTGCCATTTGCAACAATGTGGATGGAACTGGAGGGTATTATGCTAAGTGAAATAAAGCAGTTAGAGAAAGACAGATATCTTATGTTTTCACTCATATGTGGAATTTGAGAAACTTAACAGAAGACCATAGGGGAAGGGAAGGGGAAAAAATAGTTTCAAACAGAGAAGGAAGCAAATCATAAGAGACACATGAATGCAGAGAATAATCTGAGGGTGGACGGGAGGGATGGAAGGGAGGGGTAAATGCATGATGGACATTGAGGGCACTTGTTGGGATGAACTCTGGGTGTTGTATGTAAATGATGAATCATGTGAATCTACTTCCAAAACCAAGAACACACTGTATACACTTTATGTTAGCTAACTTGACAATAAATTACTTTTAAAAAAATAAATAAACTGAGGTCTATATTACTCCCAAGTCACCCACATACATTCCTCTTTGTTTGGGCAGAATTAGTTTTGGAATCCCTGGATACAGGTGGTCTTTCAAGGTTTCTTCAAGTTGCTTCTCAAGAATTGAGGAGAAGCCCATTGCTCTCCATCAGCTTTTTTTTTTTTTTTCAGTGAACAGTGTCTGAGAAATCCTTTCTTCATTTAGTTCATTCTCTCTCTCTCCCCCACCCCCACCTCTTTCTCTCCTTCTACCTCTCTCTCTCTCTCATTCACATCAGCTCAGGAAGCAACGCATTAAGGCTGACTTCCCTTGGTTATCTGCTAGTTGCTCTGGGTGTAATCTTGGAAAGTCACTTATGCTCACACTGCATTGGGATTTTCTGTTTAATGGTCACAAACTTGTACTAATCCCACACTTTTAAGATCAGAGAGGACTTCGTGTCCTCAATAGCTATCACTTGGTAGGTGCTCCATCCTCAGTGAGTTATTTATATACAAAATTCTCACGTCATTCTAGGCCCAGATCACAACACACTTCCCCATACGGTGCCTCCAATCAGTAATGTCAATTAAACAGCCACAACCCTGAGAAACAGTAGCACTGGCCCCCCACGCTCCTCTGAGGTGAAGTGGCTATTTGGGTATCTTCCAGACAAAGCCTCAGTGAGGTAAAGCCAGAACATTTGTTGGGTTGTGTGGACAATGAAGCCTTCCATTTGTTTGGACTGCTTCACTGTCAGGTGGTTCTGAAGACTGTGCTCTGCTTTTTTTGGTAAATCTGGTACAGCAATTCAATTATTCTTTCTGGAAGGTCTTTGTCTTCATATTCTCCTTCTATTTACTTATTGCTGTCTTTCTTACAGACAGCGAAATCCTGGAGGGTAATGGTCATTTCTTGTCCATTCGTACATCTTCACAGCCCATCAAGGGCTTGGGCAGATAGCACATGCTCCATCCATGTCAATGGAACTGGAAGAGGTGGACACAAAACAATTCTCTCCATTTCAGCAGCCCTCTGACTCCTCAGAATGCCTGAATTCCGAGTTAAATGAGACCTGCAGCTCGGGGCGGGGGGCGGGGAGGCATTAGAGACACTTCTGGGTAGCTTTGGAGATACCTGTCCAACCTTGAGCCAGATTCCTTACCTAGACCCGAGACCAGGTCTTCAGCTTCCGGAAGTATTCATAGCAATTGGACTTGTAGTAAAATCATCCACCAGCACAGTTAGGCTTCATGATGATGTCTACACAAACACAGCAGGCAGCTACGCATTATGATGGCAGAAACAATCCGTTCCCACACTCCTTATATAACACTGACCTTATACTTCCATGAATGTGTTTTCAAATATTACTAACTTAGTGAAGCAAGATTGTAACTGAATGATGCCTTCCACACAGTGTTGTTTCAGAGAGTTGAGCGCACTGCACTTCCCTCAAATGTCTCCCCACTTGTATTCTGACACTTCTAACATAGGGAAACATGACTTTAGTTGAGTGATGCTTTTCCCACAGAGTATATAACACTTAACTAATACTTCCATGCATGTGTTTTCAAACATTACCAACGTAGTGAAACAACCTGGTAACTAAATGCTGCATTTTGCCTAGTGTTGTTTCAGAGTTGAACACAGTGCACTTCCATCATTCGTCTCTGTGTTTTCAAACACAAGTAACATAGTGAAAGAAGAAGTTAGTTGAACAATGGGTTCCCCGCAGTGTTCGTTCACAGAGTTGAGTATAGACCACTAAGCTTATACTTCCATACATGTGTTTTCAAACTTTACCAAATTAGTGAACCAACCCGGTAAATGAATGCTGCCTTCTGCACAGTGTTATTTCAGTTAACCACACTGCGTTTCCCTCACTGGTCTCCGCAACTGTATTCTAACACTAGTAACATAGAGAAACATGACGTTAGATGAACGATGCGTTCCCCACAGTGTTCTTGCATAGAGTATATAACACATATTTATACTTCCATGCTTGTGTTTTCAAAGATGACTAACTTAGTGAAACAACATGGTAACTGAATGCTGCTTTCTGCAAGGTGTTGTTTCTCAGAGTTCAGCACAGTACACGTCCCTCATTGGTTTCTGTAACTGTATTCTAACAATACTAGCATAGTGACATGACGTTAGTTGAATGATGCGCTCCCTACAGTGTTCATGCACTTAGTTGAGTATATACCACTCAGCTTATGCATCCACACATGTGTTTTCAAACATTACCAACTTAGTGAAACAAGCTGGTAACTGAATGATGATGCATTCCGCAGAATATTGTTTCACGAATGAGCACAACTGTACTTCCTCCATTGGTCTCTATATGTTTTCAAACACTACTAACATAGAGAAACAAGAAATTAGTTGAATAACGCATTTCCCACAGTATTCATTCAGAGTTTAGTATATATAACACTTAGCTTATCTTTCATGCATGTAATTACAAACATTGCCAACTTAGTGAAACAACACAGTAACTGAATGCTGCATTCCAGTGTTCTTTCACACTGGTGAGCATTTCTGCCCTTCCCTCATAGGTCTCCACATCTGTATTCTAACAGCACTAACATAGTGAAACAAGAGGTTAGTGGAATGATGCATTCCCCACAGTGTTCTTTCACAGAGCTGAGTATATAACACTTAACGTATACTTCCATGCATTTGTTTTCAAACATTACTAACTTAGTGAAGCAAGATTGTAACTGAATGATGCATTCTGCACAGTGTTGTTTTAGAGTTGAGAGGTCTGCACTTCTCTCATAGGTCTCCGCATCTGTATCCTTTTGTTTTTAATTTTTTAAATGTTTTATTTATTTCTGAGAGAGACAGAGAGAGAGAGAGAGAGAGAGAGAGACTGTGTGAGCAAGGGAGGGTCAGAGAGACAGGGAGACACAGATGGAGAGAGAGAGAGAGAGAGAGAGAGAGAGACTGTGTGAGCAAGGGAGGGTCAGAGAGACAGGGAGACACAGATACCCAAAGAGGCTCCAAGCTCTGAGCTAGCTGTTAGCACAGAGCCCGACTTGGGGCTCTAACCCACACACTGTGAGATCATGACCTGAGCCGAAGTCGGACGCTTCACCGACTGAGCCACCCAGGGGGCCCTCCTCATCTGTATTCTAATACCCCTAACATGGTGAAACATGAAGTTAGTTGAATCATGCGCTCACCACAGTTTTTATTCTGAGTTTAGTACAACACTTACCTAGCTTCTATGCATGTGTTTTCCACAGTTACCAACTTAGTGAACATCCTGGTAACTGAGTTGCGCGTTCCGCACCGTGTTCTTTCAGAGTTGCGCGCACTGCACTTACCTCAATGTTCTCCGCAGTTGTATTCTGACACTTCTAACATAGGGAAACATGACTTTGGTGAGTGATGTTTTCCCCACAGTGTTCATGCATAGGGTTGAGTATATAACACTAACTTATACTTCCATGCATTTGTTTTCAAACATTACCAACGTAGGGAAACAATCAGGTAACTGAATTCTGCTTTCCTCACAGTGTTGTTTCACAGAGTTGAGCATTCTGCACTTCCCTCTTAGGTCTCGACATCTGTATTCTAACACTACTGACATAGTGAAGTAAGACCTTCGTTGAACGAGGCGTTCCCCACAGTGTTCATGCACCGAGTTGAGTATATAACACTTAACTTCTATTTTCACGCTTGTGTACTCAAACATTACCAACGTAGTGAAATAACCTGGTAACTACATGCTGCATTCCACATAGCGTTTGTTCTTTCTCAGAGTTGAGCACAGTGCACTTCCATCATTCATCTCTATCTGTGTTTTCAGACACTAGTAGTAACATAGTGAAACAAGAAATTAGACGATGGGTTCCCCGCAGTGTTCTTTCACAGAGTTGAACACATTCCATTAAGCTTATATTTCCGTGCATGGGTTTTCACACTTTGCCAACTTAGTAAGCCAACCTGGTAATTGAATACTGCCTTCTGCACAGTGTTGTTTCATAGAGTTGACAACATTGCATTTCCCTCATTGGTCTCTGCCACTGTACTCTAGTGCTACTAACGTAGTGAAACATGACGTTAGCTGAATGACGTGTTCCCCAGTGTTCTTGCACAGAGTAGAGTATATAACACTTTCCTTATATGTCCATCCATGCATGCGTTTTCAACCGTTACCAATGTAGTGAAACAACTTGGTAACTAAGAATGCTTCATTCCACACAGTGTTGTTTCTCAGAGTTGAGCACAGTGCACTTCCTTAGTTGACCTTTGTGTTTTCTAACACTACTAACATAGTGAATCATGACATTAGTTCAATGAGACATTCCCCACAGGGTTCTTACACAGAGTGGAGAATATTACACTTACCTTATACTTCCATGCATGTGTTTTCACATATTACTAACTTAGGTGAAGCACGATATTAACTGAATGCTGTGTTCTGCACAGTGTTGATTCGCAGAGATGAGTTCACTGCACTTCCCTCAAAGGTCTACGCACGTGCATTCTGACACTTCTAACACAGGGAAGGAAACATAACATCAGTTGAGTGCTGCTTTCCCACAGTGTTCATGCACAGAGTTGAGTATATAACTCTTTTTTAAAAATAGTTTATTGTCAAGTTGGTTTCCATACAACACCCAGTGTTCATCCCCATAAGTGCCTTCCTCCATGACGATCATGCACCCCTTCCTCCCATACCCATCAGTCCTCAGTTTGTTCTCAGCATTCAAGAGTCTCTCATGATTTGCCTCCCTCCCTCTCCCCCACTATTTCCCCCTTTTTTCTCCCCAATGATCCTCCGTTAGGTTCCTCCTAATCCTCCTATACGTGCAAACATATGGTAGCTGTCCTTCTCTGCCTGACTTATTTCGCTCGGCATAACACCCTCAAGTTCCATCCATGTTGCCCAGATTTCATTCTTTCTCATGGCCATGGAGTATTCCATCATATAAGATAAGCCACATCTTCTTGATCCATTCATCAATTGATGGACACTTAGGCTCTTTCCATGTTTTGGCTGTTGTGGAGACTGCTGCTATGAATATTGGGGTCCATGTGCCCCTATGCATCAGCACTCCTGTATCCCTTGGGTAAATTCCTAGCAGTGCTATTGCTGGGACCTGGGGGAGCTCTATTGTTAATTTTTTGAGGAACCTCCACACTGTTTTCCAGAGGGGATGTACCAGTTTACATTCCCACCAACAGTGTAGGAGGGTGCCCGTTTCTCCACATCCTCGCCAGCATCTAGAGTCTCCTGATTTGCTCATTTTAGCCACTCTGACTGGCGTGAGGTGGTATCTCAGTGTGGTTTTGATTTGTATTTCCCTGATGAGGAGGGATGCTGAGCGTCGTTTCATGTGTCTGTTGGCCATCTGGATGTCCTCTTTGGAAAGGTGTCTGTTCATGTCTTCTGCCCATTTCTTCACTGGATTCTTTGTTTCTCGGGTGTGGAGTTTGGTGAGTTCCTTATAGATTTTGGATACTGGCCCTTTATCTGATATGTCATTTGCAACTATCTTTTCCCATTCCATCGGTTATTAATTTTATGGATTGTTTCCTTTGCCGTGCGGAAGCTTATAATCTTGATGAGGTCCCAATAGTTCATTTTTTGCTCTTGATTCCCTTGCTTTTGGGGATATGTCAAGTAAGA